CCCTCTCGTCTAGAGAACTAGCCATGTTCGAAGCTCCTTAAGGGTTTCAAAATAAAAGACAGCATCAAAACTCAAGAAATTGAACGCAGAGCAAAACGATAAGCCAAAAAAATCCTGGACTTCAACGTCAGCCTTGCTTGGGCGGCGAGTCATGGTTTCAGCTCATGCGGGTCACATGTACTTGGACAGGAAACTTTATCTCCTGGAGCCTCAATTTCTCCACCTGAGAAATTGAACTGAGCAGAATCTACCTCTCAGGGTGGACGAGAGGACGTGCAGTAATAGCTGGGGTAAGTGCCTGCCTCTGCGTCTGGCATGGAGAAAGAGTCCTTTCACTGTCATTTGCTGCTCCCCGTTTTTTGGGAAGTGGGGAACACACTCTCACTCAGCCTTCCTTGGCCACGCCCTTGTGTTTACAGGGTCTTTTCTATAGCCAAGCACACCCAAACATCTTTTTCCCAAAACACTTGTCTCCCTCCACCTTTCCACTTATGTATCGATTTAGGAGAAGATCAAAATAAAACGTGGGAAGCTGGAAGCTGTGACACTGTTTTTTTCCCTGGTACACACTGATTATGTGTAAACAGCAAATTGTGGATTATTTCCTCTTTATCTGTCAACTCCTCAAACCACCTCGGGGTCCCTCAGAATGAATAATTGGCTCTGGGACACTGCCTGACGATTGGCTTTGCTGCGATGTTTATCGCCAGGGGACTCTTCTTCCAGCTCTAATGTTTTCCGAGACAGAGGGTGTGGGGCAGGGGAGATGGGGAAGAGAAGGTCAGATCTACACAACCTGGAGGTCTTTTGCTCCCTCTGGGGGGTCTCTTTTAAGGAGGAAGGTGGCAGGGAAGAATGTGATCACGTGATCCAAAAGCAAACTAATTGAAAAGGCCCAGCTGGATCGATTCTCTAGGGCGTCATTTCCAGTCGGGAAATCTCTCTTGATTCCGGTTACTCAGGGCAGAGAATACCTCCTTCTAGGAACCCCAAACTTTGCATGTCCAGATTTCATCCTTAGAACCTTGTGAAACTTGTGAGTGTGGGTGGATATAACTACAAATTCCTATCTCATCTAGCCTTGGAGGTTTGCAACCTTGAGTTCAAATTACTGTCTGTCCCTGAAAGAGCTGCAGGATGCTGGTCAAGAAATCCAATTCCTCTGTGCCTCTTTTTCCTCATCTTTAAAATGGACATAGTAACAAGGCTTCCCCAGAGACTGTGGGAGCGTGAGATCGTATATGCAAAGAGGACGGCAGCTTGCACAGTATTCCCCTGTGAGAATTAGGAAAAGCCAGCCCCTACTGGCAGAGCAATTAAAGAACGGCTTTCTCATGCTCCAGGTGGGCACTGCCTTATGCCATGGTCTGCTTAGCAGCCCAAAGACTGGATTCAGCTCTCACTTGCCTCTTTGGTTGGGAGCTCTTCTGCAGTACACATCCTGCACAACTGTACCTGGCAGTCCTGCCTGGAAAGCACTCAGCCTGGGCCAGGCTCAAACACTCAGATCTGGCAGCAGCTGTGATCACTGCCATCATGTATTATCATCTGAATGATCTGGGCTTTTAAAGACCATGAGGAGCTTTAGCATAAGGTGAACCCACACCTGAATCTCATTTTCACCTGTCCTGACCCTGCGTCTTTGAAGTGGTTCATCCGGCCCAACCTCAACTTCCTCTTCTGTAAACACAGAAAACAATAATGCCCACCTACTGGGGCAGTTTCGATTCGGTAGTAGGCATCTAACGCCCCAGCAGTTCAGTGCCAATTGCAAGCTAGGTGCTCACGATTTGTTTCTTTCACAGAAAAGAAGAAGAGACCTCCCCGCCATCGCCTTTCCCTTAGTAGAAGAATCCATGGTCTATGTGTTAGGGAAATGAAAAAACATCTATCAAGCCATTTCAGGGAAGACGCTTGGCATTCTGAGACAGAACCTGGTTGCAGACGATAGCATCAAGTTTGGAATTGGAAAGCTGGGGGCCTAGTCCCTGAGTCCCCTCCAGCCCCTAATTCACATTGTGACTTTGGATAAGTCTCACAGACTCTCTCAGACTGGGCTACCCTTTCTGTGAAACCAAGAGTACAGGAGATGAGGGTTGTTGCATAATTTTTGTGCAGCAGCAAAGCCTTTAATTCTAAACAAGCTTCCTGCATAACCACGATCTACAAAGCAGGTAAGAACAGAGATGTTCTGATTGAAGCGAGATTCGGGGAGGGGTCGCAGCCCCCTCCTTCTTCCTTCTCACCCTGCAGCACTCTCTGATGCTATTCTGAGGGACCCTAGGGCTCTGGGAACACAACGTGACAGCCACTGGACTCAGATCCATTCCTTCTTAAATATTCCAAGACTCTATGCTTTTACATCTACCGCCTTCCCACTCCATTCCTCCTGACCTGGGGTGTGTGTGTGTGTGTGTGTGTGTGTGTGTGTGTGTGCCACAAACAAATGCTCAGAAAGGAAGCAAAAAGAAGGTCTACCAGCCATTAAGGAGAAATTACAAATGCATTTTTCTCTGCCTCTGGCACATTAATAAAAGAGATTACAAAACTGGAAGTGAGTTGAAGCAGGGCAGCATCACAGCCATCGGGGAGGGGTGAGGAGCTGCTTCCTGTACAGTCATCTGATTTCATGGCCGTTCCCATGCTGAGAGAATCTGTCTGCAGCGGCTGCTGGGAGGATGTGGAGCTCATGCATTAAACATCAGGGGGACCCTCGCAACATACACCATGGGGCGGGAGGAGGATGGGGAGGAGGAAGTTCTGTGCATCAGGACAGGCTAAGGGGACACTTCCGACATGCCCCAGTGCACCAATATCATGGGCTGAGATCTAGAGATTGTTTAATAAGGGCTTGGGGAAAATCACTGAAAACTGCAGGGTGGGGGATGAAAGAGTGTAATATGCAGAAAGTACAAAGATATTCTAGAGGTTTGAGCATGGAAGAGCCACCTAGGGCAGGGCGGGAGGTGGTCCACACAGGGACACTTTGTCTAGATGGTGATGGAGAATGGTGACCATGTGCTATAAACTCTCTGGGCTGGATGCTGGGATCGGCCATTGGAGTGAGTTGAATTATTGACCCCAATTCTTCACTCTTCCTTTATTCATGCCTTTTGCCATGTGACTTTGCAGCCTCTCCTCTTGCAGGGTGAATCCCTGCACTTTGGGCTTGATCACGTGGTTTGTTTGGCCAATGGAATGTAAGTGGAAGGGCCAGTGTGCTAGTTCTGGGGTGAGACCTTAAAAAACCTGGCGCTTTCCACATTTTCTCTTGCATCTCTGTCCCTGCCCTGAAAGAAGCATGTTCTGGCTAACTTGCTCATACACAGAGGCTGACGGACGTGCAGAGTCAAGCTAGGCACCACCGGCAGCTCAGGGCTGCCCCAGCTCCTTGCAGAATAAAGCTAGAAGAGAAATAATGCTTATTATTGTAGGCAATGGAGATTTAGTGGCTGTTTGTTATACAGCAACAGCTGACTGATACAGTTATAGGTGAAGTCATTCATTTTATTCACATATTTGTTCATTCAGCAAATATTTCCCAAGCACTTCTATGCCAGACATTTTGCCAGGCAGTAGGGATGTAATGGTTAGTAAGAAATCTGGGGAAATGGGCAGGGATTTCAGATTTATTAATTCAAGGATTGAACATACACTATGTGCCAGACATGGTAATAAGTACTGCAATGACAGTGGCAAACAAAATATATAAGGCCTCTGCACTCATGGGGCTTACAGACAGCAGATCAAACAAACAACAAACCAGGAAATTTCCAAAAAGCTTGATGAATAAATTTGTCTCTTCTACTAAATCAGTCACTGTCCATTGAAAAAGACAGAAAAGTCAGTAGACTATTACAATGTAACTATTAAGCATGAGAATGAGATGCCTATAGGCAGCTGGGATAAAATACCTTATCCAACCTGGGGTTGGAGACAGGAAGAAGATAAGAGAGGGAAGCCTTTTCAGGGCACACAATATCTGAGCTGAGCACTGAAGGTCAAACGGTTTGCAGGGGAGGAGAAGAAAGGCAGGGATGGACTGTGAGGCAGAAGGTACAGTAACCAGAGTAGGGAAGCGGGAAGTAATATGGTGCCTGAGGGTAAAATGTGCTTCCATACATTATTGGAAAACAGAGTGGAAGAGGGAGAGGCAGATGAGGAGGCAGATCGTGAAGGAGTTCGAATGCCAAGCTGAGATGGTCGGACTTGACTGAAAGCAGAGAAGTAGTGAGCTATGGAGAGTTTCAGTGGGAGAGCACAGAATCAGGTTGCCACTTGGGAATTTTAGAATGGTGGACTGGCTGGGTTGAGATCAGAGGCAAGGAGCCTGGGAGGAGGCTGATACAGTTATACGTGAAGTCAGGAGAGGAGGATAGCACCCACACTAGGGCAACGTGGGGAATTACGGCATCGGAGGATTTGACAGGTGAAAGTATCCTGGGACCTTTAAGTTGCCTCAACTCCTTTTCACAAAAGCTGGTCCTTAGAGAAGGTGGGTGACACCTCCCTGCCCAGTCTTGCAGCAGATGAGTTTAGGACTTGGGGCTGAAATCAAGATCTTTATATTCTTAAACCTTCAGCTCACTTCACAACCTCGCTCTGTTTCCTAATCCACACAACTTGCCAGATAAGAATAATAATAATCACCATAATGTCTAATAACTGAGTCTTTTCTGTGTGCTGGGCTCTGCGCTGAGCACATTAAGCGTAGAATCTCATTGAATCCTCTCAACATTCTGAAAGGTGAGAACTCCCCATTTTACAGATGAGAAACCTGAGGCTCAAGAGGTGAAGCAATTTGAAGTTGAGACTCAGAATCCCCATGGGGATCGTAGTGGCAGCTCTTGGGTAGAATTGCAGTAAAGGCTAAGTGAAGCCAGGCATACATGTGCCTAGCACAGTGCCTGGCACATAGAAAGGTCTTAGCAAATGACAGTGACAATAGTGATGATGGTGACAATGACCTAAGACAGCAATGGTGGAAAGAGGCAGAGCCATACCCAGGCCTTGACTCCACTGTGTGACTTTTGGCAAACCACCTAACTCTTTGGGCCTCAGCTTCCCTGTCTGTCAAATGTACACAGAACTCTAGGGCCACAGTTCTCAACGGCGGTTGCCTGGGATAGCAGCATTAGCCATTACCCCGGAGCTTGCTGGAGATGCAAACTCTCCTGCCCTCCCTGAATTGACTAAATTCTGAGGCCCCAGGAGCAGAAGCCAGTCATCTGTGTTTCACAAGCCCTTCTGGTAAGTCTGATGCATGTTTGAGTTTGAGAACCTCTGGTCTAGATTGCTAATTTTGCATGTTTTGAAATGACATAAATATTTCCTTCTATCAAATTCATGAGAAAGCAGGCATAGGAAGCAGATCAGAGCTGCAGTGTTAGGGGTGAGGCAGCCACCAGGACCCATGGTTCTGTTCACTCTCCCCATCCTTGTAGGCTCTACAGGGCCAGGTTGAGGGCCAAGGTGATGCTGTAGCCTCTCTGCCTGGCATTAATGTCTCCTGCTAACCAGAGCCCCTGCTCCACCCCGACCTCCCTCCCTCTCACTCGGCCTCCCTTCCTGTTTACACATTCTGTAAAGTATGCATTTGTTGTGGCCTCGTGAAACCTGGTCTATTTCTTCTTTCCATCCTTATTTTTTTTTTTTTAAAGAGGCTTGAGACTGTAATTCGCTTAATTATTTCCCAGAGCCCCGGTTTGGTGGCCACAGCACAGCACGAGGCAGAGGAACAGAGACAGGTCCTCGGAAGCCTCTTTCCAGAAAATCTAATTTCATCATTGAGAAATCTTCTGTCTTAAACAGCCTCCGCCACCGCCATAAATTTGCATATTCTATATGCCGCCGGAACGGAGTGGGCCCTATTTGCATAATGCTGCTGGAGGGGCTCATGCTCCTCTTGAACCTGAATGTAGCAGGAGCGAGGAAGCAATTATTAAGCTGTAGACGTTGGCAGGGAGAGAGGTCTCAGATGGATTTCTGCTCCAAACCTCATTCACCTGGGCTGCTCATTACCGAAGGCCTGGGTCCCAGGCCGAAGGTGGGATCCCAGGGCTGGGAAAAATCAGTGTGAATTGCTTTCTCCAGGTTATGTCTGCAGCCAGGGCAAGGCCAGACGTGGGTGAGCACCTTTGGTTTTCCAATGCTGATCATTGGAACAACCGTCTCGCTGCTCACATGGGGGTAATTTGTTTCTTGGACAGTGTTGTCACTTTGCCTATGCCACACATCCCTGCTCCTTTCTCTCACACACCTCCAAGTACCTACAAGACAGGTCAGCCAGGGTTTGCTCACCTTCTTGCCAGCAGTCTAGTGCAAGCCTCTCAGAAATGCGTAATTAACAGAAAGCGGTGTTTAACAAAGTCTTAGCTGGAAAAATGGCAAATGGAAACAGGAATTCTCTCATGCCTCAGTGCTTGAAATCTACCCTTCACCATCTATACTCACGCTGGCTAGGAAGTTGGGAGTCTTTCCCTCTGGGGGATCCAGTATTTGGCAGAGGGGGTGGTCTAAGACCTGGGTCATTTGGTGTTCCAGGATCTGTAGGTCACTCTACAGTTTCTGGCTGTTCCAGGGCTGTGGGCTTAACCTCCAAGTCACTTTATGTCCTGCCATGCCAAACCTCAGTAGCCCATGGGTGTAAACGGCCACCTCTGGTTCTGTAGGCAACATCCTGGTTTTTACTCTGTAGGGCGCCATCTTGGTTTTTACTCCATCTTGGATGTCAATGGCCTCCTACATGCCTGATGGTGTTCAAACAACGGGTCTTGAGCCTAGGGCAATCTTTCAGTGGAATTTTGAGCCCCGCCCTCCCTGACAGGTTTTTTAACCAGGTGAATTCATGAACCACTCAGCTAGAAATCTACCTGTCCACTTCCACAGGTAAACACCTTGGGCATATTTGCTAACTGATGGCAGTAGACGTGCTAGGCTTATATACTTATCGACTGAATGAAACATTGTCAGGCAAAGCATGATCAGCGGGTGGAGGAAGGATCACCAGCACTTTACCTCTTGTACTTAATAATGGATCATGTAAATTTGATTTTTTCAAAAAACAAAACCAGCTTTATTTCTGAGGAAGTGGAAATACATTTGAAAACACCACTTTCACGTCTGGCCCACTTGATGCTCAGGATTGGTGGAGTTCACCAGCCCAGAGATGACCCATGGCAGCAAAAGCTCACTCCTTTCCAGCATTTAAAAAGTAAGCCAGTTGTTGGAAATTTAAAACAGCAGGTCCTTTGCTGAAAAAAAATTGCGTATCTCCACTGACTAAGACATACCATCTCCTGAAAAGACCTCAATATTGTTCTCAGCGAGAACTGTCTCATTACAAGAATTTGGAGGGAAGTCACTTTTTCCATAAGACTGCATCCAACGTTGCATTATTTCTCCAAGAAAAAGAGATTGTTCCTGATGAGCCAAACTCAGGACTCTAAAACCACAAAGTGGCGACTTTTCCGAAGGAAGCTATTTTGCTGCATAACTGGAACCTGTGCGTAAGAGCCACAGATAGTCCTTAAAGTTAGATTTCAGGATGTAGGTGTGAGTCTGTGCTCATGCAAGACCTTGACATCTCTAAGCCTCAGTTTCCTGATCTCTAAAGTGAAGATAATGATAGTACCGCCTTCATTGTTGTCACTGGGGGGATTAGATGAGATGATACACAGCAGCCAAATTGCAGGAAGGTTAAAGAATGTGCCCAAAGCCAGAGGGAGTAATGACACAGGCATAATTTGAACTCAGGTGTGTGTTTGCTCAGTCATCATGTTCATGGTGCTTGCTACCCTGATGACCGGTGCTTACAGAAATCCAGAATCACAGCAGTTGGCTTTCTAGGCTGAATGGCTCCAAGGTCTTCAAAGGGAGATACTCAGAGAAACACGGGGTTCACTAAACTGGTAAGTTTGTTTAGGAACTGAAGTGAGTGGCTATTTCCAAACAGAACTAGTAAAGACCCTGTCTTTGATTTTATCTGGAAGCCCCCGCTTTGCTTGCCACGCAAGGTGGGTTGTTACAGTAAAGGCAATGGCAGGTGAAGTGACAGGATACGTTCATATACAAAGGAAAAGAGTTTACTTATAAAACCTCTCATCAAAGTTAAGTCCTTTGAGTTAACGGGTTGCCTATGCCTTGATTCCAGGTTGCACTAAGGATCAGCCATGTTTCAAGAGCTGGTAGCTGCCCTCCAAGCGTGCCTCTGATGAAGTTGCAACCTCTGAGGGCAGTTCCCAGTGACAGTAACAAGCAGTGCAAGGTACCAATCAGCAGGACAGCACAAAGTAAAGAAAACAGTTGCACCACATGAAAACACACGTGCTCTCCTAATTAAGAACCAGCGGTATTGCAATTCTTTGTTTGACATTACCTCTTAAAGCTGAACAGGTGCCAACACCATAACCCAGAGATCCCACATTAGATACACGCCCAACAGAAATGACTGCATATGTGCGCTGACAGACAGGTGTGAGAATTTTCTGGGTACACTCCTCTAATCCCCGAAACTGAGAACTACCCAAATGTCCATCAGCAGTTAAGTGGATACATTGTGCCATATTCCCAGAAAGGTGTACCGTATGACAGGTTGGCAAATCCAGCTGGTGGCCAAATCCAGTCCCCTCCTGTTTTGTAAATAAAGTTTTATTAGACACAGCTGCGTTCATTCATTTATTTATTGTTGATGGCAGCTTTGTACTACAACAGAGGAATTTTGAATAGTCACAACAGAGATACTGTAACCCACAGAGCCTAAAACATTTACTATCCTGATCTTTTCAGAACAAATTTACCAACTCCTGCTGTGTAAAAATGGAAATGAGTAGTCTATAACTTCTCTGAGAAACGTGGGTGATTTTCACAAACATGATATTGAGTGAAAGGAGACAACACACACAGTACCTGTTGTGTAATTGGATTTACATAAAGTGTAAAGGCAGGCAGAACTAGTCTGTGCTGCTAGAGCACAGAATAATGGCTATCCATGAAGAATAGTAGCTGAACTGGGCGCTGGGAACATTCTGATTCTTAATCTGGGTGCTGATTACGTGGGAGTTCGTTTTGTGAGAATTCATCAAGACATACACAGCGATGTCTACACTTTCCCACATGCACGTTGTTCGTCGATAAAGATTTAAAAATAAATTAAAAAAAAGAAACGGTGGGTGTAGATAGTGATGCCAAGTATTTTCTCAATGTATTTCCTGGACAGAAAGCTCAAATAACAGATTGTCAAGTTAGAAAACAGATAACTTTAACTTTTACACATGAGCACACATTTATTCATTCACTCTACAAATGTTTATTGATTACTCACCACGCGCCAGGTGCTAGGGAATCGGCAGTGAATGAAATGGAACACAGCTCCTGCCTGCTTGGTACTTACACTCACCCTCACACATGTCCAGGAAGCCTTGCACGGGTGTGCACCCACCCTTACCAGCATGGACCTGGAATCACGTGAGCCCAGGATCTGCATTAGCAGGTGGAGCCCCTTCTCATGCAAGCGTTTTTCAGAGTTTTGCTTTTCCTCCTCTACTGTAATCACCGCCTCCCTCATCCACGGACCTAGGAACTGCTCAGTTTACTCCACATCACCCAAAGGAACCTGTATCTTCAGAGTGCTATGGGCCTCTACAAGCCAGGAGTCCACAGTTTAGACCCCAAAGGGTGATGGGTCAAACCAGGTTTCCGAAGTCACATTGGTGTCTGAGATACATGGAGGTCAGACAAAAGGACTCCCAGGGCCGAGTGAGGAGGTGACCTTGAACTCAAGGATGCCCTTGAATCCTCCTTGGATTTTCTGCCGGGCTTCCTGCACTCAGTGTGGTTACCTGCCACCTACGCATGTGCTCACTAGAGCCTTCTGACCCACTGGCCAGCGTTTTCCCACATGTGAATGAATGAAGCATGTTGAGCTTGCGTATTTGTACCACATCTTCTTGAAGAAAATGCCGGAATGATAGAGCTGGGGATCCATGAGTCCAATCCCGCATGTTGTAAATAAGGAGATGGAGGTTTCACTGCGGAGAGGAGATTGCCCAAGGTTTCATGCTCAGCCCAGGCCATGCCCGAAGGAATCCAACCAGGAACCCGTCTGTCCCTTATTCTAGGTGAGTGCTTCATTGCTGAGGTGCTCACACTGAAAGGGGACAGCTGGTCCTTCTCTACTGGCCTCATCACTTAGATCAAATCCACCTCCCTACCCTGGAAGATGTGGCTGCATCACCCGGTCCCTGCTTACCTCTCTGACCTCATCTCCTGCCACTCTACTCTTCTCCAGCCTCCTTTATGTTCCTCCAACATACCATGCTCATTCCCACCTCAGGGCCTTTGCACATGCTGTTTCCTCTCCCTGGAGAACCCTTCACTCTAAATCATGAGGTTGACTCCTTTGATTCATTGGTGTCTTAGCACACATATCACCGTCTGTCAGAGAGGCTCTTCCCAATCACCTAATCTCAGCAAGACACCATCCCCCCACTCTCTATCCTCCTACCCTTATGTGACTTTCTTCATAGCACTCATCACCATCTGAAATCACCTCCTTCATTTATTTGTCTATTCTGTGAGTGCTGTCAGGACAAGGACTGCCTTCCTGTTCATTGCTCCACCGCAGCATCTCCAAGAAACTTGGCATGTAGTAAGCATTTAGGATACGTTGAATGAACGAATAGATGAAGGCATGAAAAAAGCATCTGTACTAGACCAGCTCACAATGCAGCTACATCTCTGAGGGATGCAAGCTCTCCTGGCCGCCCTGATTAAGACATCTCCAGTATCAAGAATTGCTCCTGGATTCTTTGCATATGAAGCGTATTGACCCAGGGCCAGAGGGACACTTTGCAGCAATTTGCCTTTACTGCTTTGATCAATAGGCATCCCAGTGCTCACCCCAACACCATCTATTGCAGATGGCTATTAATTATGGTGCCTTCCTTTTCTTGCATCTCCTCGATGCTTATGAGGTCTTTGTTCATCTTCTACTACAGGGAGTTCCCAGGCCTGTAGTGGATGTTGAGAAGGAGTCTCTGAGTGTTGCTGATTTTCCCCGCCCAAGGTTTGAACCACAGTTCTAGACTCTGCCTCTCTCCCTGCCATGTGCACCTGTGAAGAGGCTGAGTTGGGGACATCGTGGGGTAGAGGGCACCTTAGTTCCAGTCTCGCTCTGTCACCAGGCTCGAGTGCAGTGGCGTGACCTCAACTCACTGCAACCTCAGCCTCCCAGGTTCAAGTGATTCTCCTGCCTCAGCCTCCCGAGTAGCTGGGACTACAGGTGTGTGCCACCACGCCCAGGTAATTTTTGTATTTTTAGTAGAGACGGGGTTTCACTGTGTTGGCCAGGATGGTCTCGATCTCTTGACCTCGGGATCTGCCTGCCTTGGCCTCCCAAAGTGCTACGATTACAGGTGTGAGCCACTGTGCCTGGCCACACCTCTGTCCTTAACTCACTGTGTGCCCTTGGCCCCATCACTTTCCCTCCCTGGGGCTTGATTCTACTCACCTTCAAAACGAGAAGGCTCCTAAAGACCCCTTCAAGTTCTGAAACTTTAGAATTCTTCATGAGCAGTCTTCACACTTTCAATATCGAGTCCTATCATCTTCTTCTTTGGAAATGTGGTCCATTCCTATAATCTCTGAATTGCATCCATTCACTCAACAACAACTCATGCATTCAGATACCCACCTAACAGATACTTCTTGGGGAATCTTCAGATGTTCCTGTGCGATAGCATGAAGCACCTGGGATATACTTAGCCACAGTTACAGTTAAATAAAAGGCACTCAGTCTCCCCTCCTCTGGTCATTTAATTTAAAACTCCCAAGGACTTTGGGAATAAAACTGTAACCTTTCTATTACATAGATGAGGAAACGAAGACCCGTCATGGTCAGGGACTTGGCCAAGGCCACACAGATATGGAGTGGCTAAGCCAGGATCTGAACCCAGAGACATCTGGCCTAAACTTTGTAATCTGATCATTCCAACTTGGGATCCCAGCCCTAAAATACCATCCACTCTACCCCTCCTTAGGAGTGATCTCTGGTAGTTTATTTAGCCATATTCCAGTGTTTCTCATCAAAGAGAACTGCTTTAAAGACGGACAGTGACTGTTGTAACATTGAGCCAAAGCATCCATGGCTTATGGCCTGGGAGAGTTCACAAATGGGTCTAATTAGTTGCCACCAATTAACATCGAATTACCCTTTAACGTGGTACCACAATCATCTCAAAATCAAAAGACGGACGACCCAGATCGCACTTAAAGAAAGAGGCTACGCATCAAACGCCATTTACTATGCTAAGCAGATTCCTTTTTCCTACAGTGTGCTGATTTTGAGACAAGGAAATACATTCAAATTAACCCCTGAGCTATTCCTCTTCCAAATTCTCCATTTAGGGTTGACTCCATGGCGCATGATATTACTAATTCAGAACTCCGGGAAGGCATGCTGATTGCCTGAGACGTGGGTAAGGACTCTGCTAACGCACAGTTTCATGCTGGGTGGAAATCAGAGCTCAGGGCACATGCTGCAGCTCCCAGAGCAACATGGAAGAACTCGCTTTCCCCCACCCCAGGCCCTGGCTCCAACCAAATCCATCCTGAACCCATTAAACAAATATTTATGACCGGGCATGGTGGCCTGCACCTGTAAGTAATCCCAGCACTTTGGGAGGCTGAGGTGGGAGAATAACTTGAGGCAAGGAGTTTGAGACCAACCTGGGCAACATAGTGAGATTCCATGTCTACAAAGATTTTAGAAATTAACCAGACGTGATGGTGCATGCCTGTGGTCCCAGCTACTCAGGAAACTGAGGCAGGAGGATTGCTTGAGCACAGGAGTTGGAGGCTGCAGTGAGCTGTAATTGTGCCACTTCACTCCAGCCTGGGTGACAGAGTGAGAGTAATATGTATTTGTGTATATATATATATATATATATATATATATATGTGTGTGTGTGTGTGTGTATGTGTGTGTGTGTGTGTGTGTGTGTGTATGGATGCACATATATCGCCTACTATGTGCGGGATACTGTCCTTGGTGCTGAAGATGTGAGCTAGGGCAGAGAATAAAAGATAAAAGCCTCTGCCTTTAAGGTACTTACATTGTATACTTACCTGGCAGGGGAGATACCATGATCACGAAGGTGGTTTTCTCAGGACAAGGCTTGTCCATTGTACTCCGGATGTGCTGACCCCTGCGATTTTCCCTAATGTGGGAAACTCGACTGCATAATATGTGGGAGTGGGGGACTGCGTTCATGCTTTCCACTGGTTCTAAAAAGAAGAAGAAGAAGAAAGAAAAAGATACTCACATTGTAGTGGGAGAGACAGATAATTGGTAGTAATAATAAAGTGTATACTACTTTTGGTAGAGAAAAGTTCTATAATCGGGTTCAAGCAGCAGACTGTAGTGTAGGGCAGAGATTGTGATTTAAAGTAGGGTTATAAGGAAGATCTTGCTGAGAAGATGATGAATGAAACAAAATTTTATTCGAAGGTTACTGAAAGAATCCAAGGAAAGGTAACGAGGCCTCCATCCATGGGAGAAACGGTGGCGATGCAGTAGCAGCTTTGCGTCTCCAAATATTTTGAAAGTAGAGTCTGCAGTGTTTGTGATGGAGTGGAAGGTGGGCAATGGAATAAAGGGAAGAGACAAAGGTGACTCCCAGGTGCCCCGAGCACCTGGGAGGGCGGATTTGTCATTACCCACAGTGGACACACCTGCTGATAGAATTGGAAGGATCGGTCCCATTTGGGGCATACTGTGTGTGAGATACCTGCACGACAGTCACATGGAGTTGTGAAGTAGACCAGATACGTTCCCTGTAGATCCTGCTCCAGGCAAAGTCCACTCTGCTCTTTCATGGCCCCTGCTGTGTGTTTGGTTCATGCCAAGCCCCTACCTGAAGGCCCTTCCCTCACCACGTCAACAGGGGCCATCCCTATGTTTGCAATCCCAACGCATCCATGAGCCTGGAATCCTGCTCTTCAGAAATCTCCTAGTCCCTTTCTCTGTACTTTTCCCAGGCATTTCTTCTTTCCTACCCAGCTCCTAACAGGCAGATGAAAGAGGAAATATTTCAGGGTTGGGAAGGGCATGAGGGGAGGCCCTGCTCTTACATCTCACAAGTGACCAACTCCCTCTGTGGGAGTATGCTGACCTGCCTTCTCTCTCTGTCTCCTGAGAACCCCAGTCTCTTCTTACAAGCCACAGGCCTTTTCACAATATGCCTTTATCAATATGATTCCAATAAACATTTCAGTTCCGCATATAAATTCCAGCGCCTGGCTGCCCAGCGGAGAAGACCTGCTCAATGAGTAGGTCGTAAAGATCTAATCATGCAATTAAAAGGTGTGGCCTGTCACCCTCGTAAAACTGGAGATCAATGCAGGGTGAGTGGGGGAGCTGAAGGCAGCAGGGAGAAGAATCTGGCTTCCCTGCAGTGTGTGAAGGATGAAGAAACAGATTCAGGGGGAAAAGTACCTGCCCGGGCCTTGGGGAGAGGTTTTGGCTCTGGCTTGGGGTCCCATCCTGGGCCTCTGACCTCCCCTATGGAAGGCCAGATGTTAAAAGACATGAGTTCTGTCTCCAGGCCAGACTCAAGAGATCTGAGGCTTTAAACATGTCCCTTCTACTCTATAAGCTTCAGTCTCCTTACCAGTAAAATGGGTGCATGATAAAACTATCTTCTTCACAGAGCCGTTGAGATAGAACAGATCCAAATAATTTTAGTGCCAGAGAGGTTCTGAGTTCAGGAGCTGCAAACTCAAATACCTATAGAGGCTGATCACAGATACACATGAGGGAGAGAGGTGAGCCAGGTGAAGAGTAATAGGGAATGGTGGAGACTGGGGCACGATGCAGTACAAGCCTCACTGAAGGAAGGCAGCACTACCCTTTCCCTCCTGCAGAGGCAGGAAGTCTGACGTCATGCAGGGATGTCAGTCTGATGCCACCAGATCTAATTTCTAAAGAGAAGCAGAATTTGGATGTGAGACTTCAGAATTTTCACAACTCTGCATTAACAAAGCATAATCACATCTGCTGGCCATATACAGCCAGGGGCCTTCCATTTTCCATGCTTCTTCTGGGCTGACTCCCTTGTGAGTTGATGGGCTTCTGCTAATGCCTGATGCCACATTCAGCCTGTTTGTTTCCACACACATGTGCATGTAGAATCATCACCATACATAAACTGCGGCGCAAAACTGCCCAAGCTCACCTGCCAGCTCCGCCTTTGGCTGACTGTGTGATCTCCGGCAAGTTACTTAGCCTCTCTCTGCCACGGCTTTCTCAGGTGAAAAGTGAATCAGTAGCAATTCCTACTCAGAGCGTTGCTGTGAGGATTAGGTGACCCCTCCTTGCAAAGCACTGAGGACAGTGCCTTGGTGATCAAGGGCATGTTTCTGAAGACTGCTTTGCGTGGATGCACAAAGGTGGTTGTGATAGGCATGGAGGTCATGGCCCGCTGCTCTAAGTTCTCAGAACTTGCAGTGACAACCTGTCATCCCTTCCCAAGTGCATTTATCTTCTCAAGAAAGGCAACCACTCTCAAACCAGAAATTTGGACAACCTCCTTCTTCTGTCTCACCTGCTTCCTGTAAGAAGCCAGCCCCATGGAATCACCCTCCATAACATTCCCTGGGTCTGGCTGGTTCTCTAAGCCTGACTGCCACCACCTACCTCTGCCTCGGTCTCTCTCCTAACTGGTTTTTCTCTCTCTCCTGACCCCTGCGTGCTGTCTCCTCTATGGCTGCCCAAAGAAGCCCTCAAAGTCACACATCCTCCCACATTTTTACTGATGCCTTTCTGTTCCTGGAACCCAGATGCCCTTTACAGCCTTTATGATTGTGCTTTGACTGTTTGCTCCACCTGGAATGCTGTTTCCCATTTTCCCACCTCAGGTTTGCTTGGCTAAAACTTCTACTCTCCTTCAAGGTGCAGCTAAAGTCATACCTCCTCCAGGCAGTCCTCCCTAATCCCTTTAAAGTGTTCAGTGCCTTCTCTGTAGCTTCATGACTCTGGGTTTTACGAAAATCCTGGAATTGATCACACTGAAGTTTCATTGGTTGTTTACGTGACTGTGTCCCTCTGCAGTCTGCAACCTGGGAGGACTGGAACCCTGTCTTATTTATACCTATGCATCTCCTGTGATCAGCACAGAGGAGAATATGCTTGTTGAATGAGTGAATGAAATGATTCAATGTTTGCTCAACATGAAGCGTTGCCATCAACATCATTAAGGAGAATATTGCAAGGCAAGTTACGAAGTTCCTGTCACAGACAGATACTGACAATTCTGGGTCCTCTGAGATCAAATCCTGAAGCACAATTGGTATATCTAGGAGTGGGATCCAGGACTCACACCCACAACAAGCAAAGACACAGTGGTAGTGAGACCACTACCTTATGAGACAGCCGGCTCCCCCCGGAAGCAGCTCTGCTAGTTAGAAAAGTCTACATGTACTCCTAGGTACTTCCAAAGATTCTCCTTAATCTGGTCACTAATAATGAGAGAGATTAGCTGTGTTTTCTCCCACCCATTCCTAGTAGCAAACACGAAACGCTTAAAGGGGTAGAGAGAAGTGGGTGATACCGATAACTGAAGTTGAACTTGGGATCCGTGAATGGATTTCAGGAGTTCTTGAGCATCCTTGACTATTCATTGCTTTGCTCAGTCATTTATTCAACAATCACAGGACACAAGGTACGGAGTTGAACAAAACAGATGGACTTCCCACCCTCCCAAGGATGACACTCTAGAGTGGGAAGACCAACATTCATCAGATAACATGTAGATGCAGTCATGCATCATTTAACAACTGGGATATGTTTTGAGAAATGTGTCATCAAGCGATTTCATCATCGTGCAAACATCATGATGTACTTACACAAACCTAGATGGCATTGATATCTTTGCGTATTTTTATTTACATATTAGGTTGGTGCAAAAGTAATTGTGATTTTGCCTTTAAAGTAATGGCAAAAAACCATGATTACTTTTGCACCAACTTGATATTTTTGTTTATGTGGAAACCCAAATGTTTCAGCACCGTTACTAACTGCCAATCATTTTCCCTACTTCATGCTATTCATCGGGTTTCTATATATGCTCCATTGTAATCTTATGGGACCACAGTCATATAGGTGGTCCATTGTTGGCCGCCATTCTGTTATGCAGCGGATAACTATATATATCATATCCCCACCGTGGACAGAGGTTAAGAGGGGAGCTGCAGAAGTCAGCCTGGTCTGAGAGATTGGGATCAGCATCTCTGAGATCTACAGCTGAGAAGAGATGAGGGGGAAGGGAGGGCCTCCCTGGCAGACAGAGCAGCAAATACAAAGGCCATGTGGTGAGAGGAAATGTTGGGAGTGATTGGGAGCAAAATCATGGCTGTGAGAAGCTCTCAGTAGGTACCTGAAGGATTGCATAAAACTCTAAAGTGTTTAGAAGCTTGGTATCTGAGCCAATGATTCTGTAGCTGTGGCCTAAAGACAGCCTATTCAGAAATGCAGGCCCCAGACCTCTGGAATCAGACTCCAGGACTCTGGAATATACATTTTACTGAAAGATTAGATACACCTGAAAGCTTTAACACTTGTGTGGCATGTTCTCCTGAAGGAATCCCCTACCATCCCCACACAACACAATATTTTGGCAACTATTGCTAGAAGAATTGGAACTACAATGTATTAAGTACCTACTATGTGTTATCCCCTATGTGAGCTTTATCTCATTTAATCCTGGCAGTGGTCCCACAAAGAAACTGAGGCTCAGAGAAGTGAAGTCACTGAATCAGATAACGGTAGAGCTGGCACGCAAACCCAAGTGTATATATCACCCGAGCCCAGGCTCGTTGCTTCATCCCTTTCAGTCCTTCCACTCCCAAAGCTCCCTGCTCCATTCCTATAGTAAGCTGAAGCTGAGTACACCGGATGCCAGAACGGTAAGTGGGGAAGAGAAGGACATTCTGGGTCCTCTGATGAGTTACCACGAAATAAGCGCTGGGCTCTGGGTCAAGAGGCCAACCCCAGCTTTGCTGCTGACATTCCATGTTGTCTTGAACCAGTCACATCCTATCTTAGGGTCTTCATATCTTCATCCATCAGTGAAATAAATCCATAAAAATATCCACCTGTCTTGTATCATGGACTTTAATGAGATAATGTCTAGAAAAGAGGGTTCTATGACATGAATAAGTGTAGTAACTCATATTTGTTAAGCCTTTACTATGTGCTAGTTAATCAACAGTGACCTTGTGAGCAGATGAAAAAACAGAAGCTCAGAGAATATGGGAGCAGAGATAATGTGCTATTTCCAAGTCGGTATCACAAAGGGCCTCGTGAAATTCTTCTCTCCCTTGGACTCTAGAGAGAGACTCCATGCACCATGGACCACGGACCACGAGAACAAGCCCAGGCTGGCCTGATGGAAGAGAAGATGAGTGATTTACCCAAAGCCATGTAGCCAGCAGATTTCCTGAATAAGCTTGCTTGAGAACTAAGGCCTATCTCATTCCAGAACTGAAGTCCATGACAGTATATTGACTCTCAGTGATAAAGCTTTATACACATATACTACCCAATATAGACTTTCTGGAGTCCAAATATTTTCCCTGAAGTAGAGGCTAGGAAGGGAGTAATTTCAGGACAGGTACAGGTGTGAGCTAGACCACTAGGGCAAGGGAATCACTTACTACTCATAGAATTATAAAGAATTTGCCTGGAAGGAACCTCAGATAGAATCTTCTCCATCTTATACATTGTATGGATGATAACATTGAGGCTCAGGGAGGGCGAGGCATTGCCTGAGACCCAAAAGGGTATTTTTGATGGAGATAGAAACAGAGCTCAAATGGGCCAACTCTCCCCTTCCTTCTCAAAATGCCATCTAATTCAGATGTCCAAGAAAGGCAGATGGTGAGTGGGAGTGAGAATCACTGGGAGAAAGAAGAGATGAGCCAAGATTAATCTGCAGACAAGAGCGAGCCAGAGGGAGATGGAAAAGAAGGGCCAACTTATCTCTAGGATGATGGCCCATCATGGCTGGCCTTGGAACATTAGAACTTAGAGCCAGAGGACTCTAAATTCCAGTTCTATGGGATTTATTTGCTTGCAAAACTGGCCAAAGTTTTCCCTGCTTTTCTGTGTCCTTGCATTTGTAACGTGTCTTTTCGGTTCCCTCCATTGGATGACTGTGTCTGTCTCCACCTCTTCAATTTGGATTGGCTGTGTCACTTACTTTACCCACAGAATGTATGCAGGGAATCCTGTGCCTTTTCTAAGCCTGAGTCCAAAAAGACCTGTGAGTTTCTGCTATTTCTCTTGGAAGTTGCTCAACTACCATAATCTGCTAGAGGATAAGAGACACATGGCCCTACACCTCCAGCCTCCCAGTCCAATAGTCAGCCAATCACCAAACTTAGCAAGTCCATCTTTTTGCATGAATAAGCCCAGTCATGATTAGCTGAGTTTAGCCCATACTACAAAAACTACCTAGCTGACCTGTAGACTTGTAGGCAATAACAAATGCTTGTTATTCAGAGCCACAGAACTTTAGGGTTGCTTGTTACTCAGCAACAGCTAACTGATACAGCTTGGTCCCCTTCCTTCCTAACTTGGTGATCTTGAAAGTAATCACTTCACCTCTCCAAGCCATCATTTGCTCATTTGAAAAATGGTGGTGATTATGATGACATAATAAAACTAACCTCCCAGAGTTTTTATATGAAGATTAAATGAAATAATGCATTCAAGATTAACAGCACAGTGCCCTGCATACAGTGAGAGCTCAATACCTGTTGATTTCTTTCTTCCAAGGGGCCATGCCATAGTCTTGGCCCACCCAGAGATTAGAGAATGTGTGGTTTGCCTCACAGGGAACTTCTCAGAAAGACCTATAATTAAATAGAGGCTAATAGGTCCTGGAATTCCAAATCACAATCCATCTTCTTGAACCTCTGGCCTACGGGCCAGTCCGGGCAGGGGCAGTGCCAGGGCAGGCAGCCCTGATACAGGCTAAGTTCAGCAGTGCAGTTTGCTCTGCTTGCCAGAGCTTGCATGTTTACATACATCCCATAATTACCATCTGCACAGCCAGCGGCATTTGTTGCAAATGGGCCGTTTCCATCTGTTGAAGCAATTTCCTCAGAGGAATTTGCATTGATCACTTTTTTATGCAAAGCTTTTGTATAGATCATTTTTCCCCCCAATGGTTTTTAATAGGCCTAAATATTTGAGGGCCAGGGAGGGGCTTCAGAAGGAAGGAGGTTGCAGACTAGGCAAAGCTGTGGTGCAGGGGAGAAGCTGGGGGAGGCTGCTCTTGCATGAAACTCTACCTGTATTCCTCATCCAGAGACCCAACTCAACCACCGTTAAGGACCCCAGGCTGGGCAATGCCATTTCAAATATTTATTGTTTGCCTTTATACTTGAGCTGGTAGCTCGTGGTTAATGGAGAGGCCTCAGAATGAGGGAAAATGGGGCGTGGTAATTAAGCAGGCAACTGGTGACTCCGGCTCAGAGCTTTGTACCTGAGAGGACCAGATGGACGATTTTGCATATTTTTGACAGCTGTAATGAACAGGGCAGCTCCGTATTGATTAAATGTCTGGGAAATTAGCACAACCCTCTGGAGCTTCATTATTTACTATTTCTGCTCAAATTCTCGGCAAAGTTTACACAAGCGGAAGTCTGCAGTAAGAGAAGGGGGAAAGAGGAGACAGTTGAATGAGATGATAAATGCTTTATAGGGTCCCAGCCCAACAGATGCAGAACAGAGAGGTGAATGTGGTTTTGACATTGAACTCCTGAAGGCTAAGATCTTGGTGGATTTATTTCTGCATTTCCAGTGTCCAGCAAAGTATCTGCCACATAGCGGGCTCTCAGGAAATGACTCACTCTGGACAGAGTACTTAGCTAGAAATCAAAATCTGGGTTCTGGACCTGTGCAGAGATTTCGTCTTCAGGAAGAAAACGACAGACTCCAGTCTGTCCCACATTTATAGTAGATGAAATCATGCCCTTGAAGATAAAACCTGAAACCTTTTGCAAACAAAAAGTTCATATGTAAGTAACAGCTACCTGGGCAGTCCCCCAGCCCCACATCGATTCTTCTCTGAGCACTGTCACATTCCTCATGACAATGAGCCACCAAGAGATGCTGCAAAAGTAAAAAGAAGAAAGTCCCCCAAACATGACTCAGCAAAGTGCAGGTGGAGTTTGTCAAAGTGTGGTCTGCAAAACACCTGCATCAGGATCACCTGGGGATCTTACTCACTAAGAATCAATGGGCTGGAAGAGCTCCCAAGGGATTTTGATGGGCTCAATTTTGGGGGTAACGATGGGCTCTAAATCGTGGGTTCCAATCCTAATCCTGCCTCTTATCAGTCATGTGACCTTGCATAACATGGCACGATGTTCTTTGAGTCTGAGTCTCTTTGCTAATCCATAGCTGGATAACGTGATTCCCCTCTTTTTATTTTTTTATTGCATTTTAGGTTTTGGGGTACATGTGCAGATCATGCAAGATAGTTGCATAGGTACATACATGGCAGTGTGTTTTGCTGCCATCTTCCCCTTCACCCACATTTGGCATTTCTCCCCAGGCTACCCCTCCCCGTTCCCCTCCCGCTGTCCCTCCCCTATTCCCCCCAGTAGACCCCAGTGTGTAGTACTCCCTTCCCTGTGTCCATGTGTTCTCTTTTTCATCACCCCGCTATGAGCGAGAATATGCAGTATTTCATTTTCTGTTCTTGTGTCAGTTTGCTGAGAATGATGTTCTCCAAATTCATCCATGTCCCTACAAAGGACACAAACTCATCCTTTTTTATTGCTGCATAATATTCCATGGTGTATATGTGCCACATTTTCCCAATCCAGTCTATCGTGGATGGGCATTTGGGTTGGTTCCAGGTCTTTGCTATTGTAAACAGTGCTGCAATGAACATTCATGTGCATGTGTCCTTATAGTAGAACGATTTATAGTCCTTTGGATATATACCCAGTAATGGGATTGCTGGGTCAAATGGAATTTCTATTTCTAAGACCTTGAGGAATCGCCACACTGTCTTCCACGATGGTTGAACTAATTTACACTCCCACCAACAGTGTAAAAGTGTTCCTATTTCTCCACATCCTTTCCAGCATCTGTTGTCTCCAGATTTTTTAATGATCGCCATTCTAACTGGCGTGAGATGGTATCTCAGTGTGGTTTTGATTTGCATTTCTCTAATGACCAGTGATGATGAGCATTTTTTCATATGTTTGTTGGCCTCATGTATGTCTTCTTCTGTAAAGTGTCTGTTCATATCCTTTGCCCACTTTTGAATGGGCTTGTTTGTTTTTTTCCTGTAAATTTGTTTGAGTTCTTTGTAAATTCTGGATATCAGCCCTTTGTCAGATGGGTACACTGCAAAAATTTTTTCCCATTCTGTTGGTTGCTGATTCACACTAGAGACTGTTTCTTTTGTCGTGCAGAAGCTGTGGAGTTTGATTAGGTCCCATTTGTCTATTTTGGCTTTTGTTGCCAACGCTTTTGGTGTTTTTGTCATGAAGTCCTTGCCTACTCCTATGTCCTGGATGGTTTTGCCTAGATTTTCTTCTGGGGTTTTTATGGTGCCAGATCTTATATTTAAGTCTTTAATCCATCTGGAGTTAATTTTAGTGTAAGGTGTCAGGAAGGGGTCCAGTTTCTGCTTTCTGCATATGGTTAGCCAGTTATCCCAACACCATTTATTAAACAGGGAGTCCTTTCCCCATTGCTTGTTTTTGTCAGGTTTATCAAATATTGTATGGTTGTAGATATGCTTTATTGCCTCCGATGCCTCTGTTCTGTTCCATTGGTCTATATCTCTGTTTTGGTACCAGTACCATGCGGTTTTGATTACTGTAGCCTTGTAGTATAGTTTGAAGTCCGGTAGTGTGATGCCTCCTGCTGTGTTCTTTTTGCTTAGAATTGACTTGGCTATGCGGGCTCTCTTTTGGTTCCATATGAAGACCTAACCTACGTTTGATAGGTGTACCAGAATGTGCTGAAGAGATTCCCCTCTTGAAAGCTCGCAGTGGGATTCAATGATATAATATATGGAAATAACAATATCTGCTATACAGTAGGTATTCAGTAAATGCCGTTTAGCATTATTGCTACTGGAGAGAGTATTTTAGGAGTTGTTTTACAAGGTCATATTTGCCCAGGTTAAAGGCATTGAGGC